GTTAGTTTGGATAGAAGGCGGAGGGATCTTCTTCTTCCATAGTACTTGTATGTAGGGGTGGACAAACGGGTCTTGGGCCCATGGGTAGGGGTGGGTACTAGAGGTTCGGGACTGGTACGGGGCGGGTCCATATTATTTTATATACAAAACGGGGCGGGGCAAGGTGGATCCAGTATTCTAAAAACACGGGCCCCCGCCCGAACCATATCCAATAAACAGGCCCAGCCCAGTGCCGTGCCACTCAAATCTCACACACACACTCAAATATGACTCTGTCACTTTCTCGAAGACTCTCCCAGACTCTCCTCAGTCCTCCATCTCGATCTCTCTCCCAGAGTCCAAACTAACTCTTATCCCTTTCGATTCTCACTCTCTCTCTCTGTCGAACTCGAAGGGGCAAACGACGAAGTCAGTCTCTCCCTGTCGAACTCGAGAGGACGAACCACGAAATTGAACAACTCGAAACGACGAATCAATCATCTCCTCCGTCTGACTCATATTTGCATGGAAGCCGAGCTCTGCTGATGGTCTCACGGCAAAGATGATTAAGAAGGAAGAGGACAACACCGCCTCCCTCAACAGCCTCACGAAGAAGGAGATCAGCGCCCTTGTCGACGGGAAGAAAAAATTTGAAGCTTACCCAGTTATTAAGGTTGAGCTTGTGTCTACCGCTCGAGGTCTTCCATTGGTGCTATCTCTCTGGTTTGTTTCTTGATTTCAAGCTATTTGTGGGGGATTCTAAGTAATTAAAAAAAGGGATCTAGAGAAGGAATTTATTATTTTTTCTGATGCATGCAATCACTGCTTTGGAGCTAAACTGTTAAATTTAGTCATCTGGTAAATTGTTAAATTTTGGATTTTGATCAGTTGGGTTATATTGTAATGCAATCTTAGGAAATTAGTCATCTGGGATTCTAGATTGTCTAAAATTCAATTTTTTATACTAAAGTTTGTTGCTTTGAAGGTTTTTCCTGAGAATATCAACTGGGTGTGTAAACTATGATTGAATTTTGAGATTTTCGGTGAATTGGTTGTACTGGGAAATTTGATAGGGAAGGAATAGGAAATATACCCGTGAGGATCCAGCCCGTCCCGCCCCGTTGTATTTTCAAGCAGGTCCAGTCTGGTCCCTCCAATTTTAGGCCCAGCCCGGCCCATGCCCACCCCTACTTGTATGTCTTCATGAGTTTATTGTCTTGGGCTTCTTTCAATACTTGGGACGGGTGGTAACCAAGCTGGAATTTACATAATTTGTCCAGTAAGCTTTTGATGGTTTTGTTGGTCCAGTTCAAACAAACCAAGGATTATAACATAATGGATCTACTTTGTATTGGATGTAACCCTCTATCATAGATTCCATACGTACGCATATTTTTTTTATCTTTGTTGCGTTCCATTTAATTGGCAACGCTATACTTTCGAACCCTCTGATTCCTTGAGTTGATTATTGCAAAAACATGTCTTTCGTTTGGAGACATTCGATATACTTATTTTTTAGACATTATTATGCATGTCACTATTGGTATTCATGCTTTAATCCTGTGCAGAATGGTAGACAGGTCTTGTACGTCCAGTGTACCCATTCCAAGTTAAGCTAGGGATGGGCATGGGCCAGGCCAGGCCCAATTTTGAAGGGACTGGACCGGACCTGGATGCAAAGGAAACGGGTCGGGCCGGGCCGGGGATAGCACATTCTTATATAGAAACCGGACCTAACCCGGCTCGATTGAAACGGGCCGGTTCGGGCTGGGTCCACAGGTCTTTGGTTCTATTTTTTTTGTTTTTTGCAAAACTGCCATTGTCGCCTTCAAATCTCCATCTCCGTCGCCGTCAAATCCGTTAGGGACTTATAGTCCGCCATGCAACACTTTCTCATCTCCTAAACCATCAACGTCGAGAAGCTCAAGATTCCGAGTCGGAGGATGAGTCGCAAGTCGCAATCGAGTTGGTGCACCACATCTCTTGGGTCGCGATGTCTAATTTGAAATCCCACCCACATCTTCAACGTTGATGGCGTCTCCGGCCGCCCTAACATCGACTAGTGTGAATCCTATAAGGTCGAGACCATCTGGACCAATGTGGAATATGAGGATTTGACGGTGAGGTCATCAAGCAGAACGAGAACACTGCGGTCGGTGGGGTGGTTCGATGAGAATGAGTGGGCCAGAAATGGAAGGGTTAGGGTTAGGAAGGCGAGGACGCCGACGAGCTTAGACATGGTTAGTTAGGTTTGGGAAAGGACTCTAGTGACAAAGTCGAGCTCAAGGAGACCTATGATGGGAGAATGGATGGTCGAAGGACGGATGACGAAGGAAAGACGATTGAGAGTTGGAGTCGATGGACAGACGGCGTGAAGTGAGCTTCAAGAGAGACTCGATTAGATTTAGAGATATTAGGGTAAAAACGAACGGTCATGATTGGAAGGTATGTTTATTTTCAATCTGGGCCGTCCATTTCAATTACAAACTGGCCGGTCCAGGGCCCCGTTTTTCTATACATCTGAAACCAGCCCGACCCTAAAATGTCATTGCCCCGCTCCATTTCCCCTATTAAAAAACATGACCCGCCCCGTACCCGTCCCGAACCGCTAATACCCGCCCCTACCCGCAGGCCCAGGGCCCGTTTGCCCACCCCTAAGTTAAGCATGAGCAACATCGGTTTTCATAAATGAGATTCTCGGAAGCTAAACAGAACCCGGTGACTTGACACGTACGGTCTCACAAAAAGTACCATGTAGCCACCGTACTAGCCGGAATGCAGCTTAATTGCTGGGGACCAACTTTTGCTTCATTTTCTGCACCATTGCAGCTGCTAGGACATTCTGATTGAGACTTAGACCTAAAGAATTTAAGGAAATTGAAGGAGCATCAAACTGTGTGTGAAGTATGAACCCTAAAAGTGTAAAAGCTTATATGCATTATTGTCCAATGTCCTTACTTTTTTGAGTTGGAATAATTATACAACATGGGCTACTGTTTGGCAACTAAACAAGCATCTTCTCTTCTAATCTGTCCATAATTAAGTAGCTAGTTAGGGGTTTATGGCCTAAAACATGTATAGTTTTGTTTTCCATTTCTTCATTTGTTGATGTGGGCCTTGGTATTTTTACTCTATAATTTCATTTTCCTTCATGTCTTGGGTTTTAACACAATATTCAAGTTTATTCTTATTTCAGCGGAATTTGAACTTTGATGCAGGAGCAACGCACATTGTTGTAATCAACTTGACCGTGTATGCACATTCTCCTTTGGCATTGGATGATGAATGCGATTTCATTCAATTAGAACAAAAAAGGCTCGATTTACACCCAAGTTGCATTTGTTGATGCACAAAACCGGAGGTCTTGGAACAACGTAAATCCGACCGTGAATCTGCAAGAAATGTAAATAACACAAGATGTATCGTGGTTCACCCCAAGGTTTGGGCTACGTCTACACTGAATATGCATTTATCTGAGAGGTGAGGGAGAGAACCTCCGAATATGAGAGGGGATGTGAGAAGGGTGAGAAGGCTTCAGAATTGGCCTTAGGAATTGGCCTTTCCAATTGTGAAGGTGAGGGGTCCTTTTATAGAATAAGGACTCCTCACTTATTACATATTTGCCCCTTCCTTTATTACATAATTACATTTAAGTCCCCCGAGTATTTATACGAGGCCCTAAATATGGTATAAACAGTAGTCCCCCAAGTCTTCAGTCAAGAAAGTCTTTTGACTGGAGACTTGAAATTCAGTCCATGTGTAGGCCGAAGTAACTAGATGTTTTCTTGAACTGATGTTTGATATGAGGCGGTGCTCAATCTGAAATGATGCTCAACTAGAAGTAGCACATGCTGCGAGGCTGCTCCTGAAATGATGCTCAACTAGAAGTAGCACATGCTGTAAGGCTGCTCCTGAAATGATGCTCAACTAGAAGTATCACATGCTGTAAGTCTGCTCGGCTCGTGGCTTATGTTACCTTGGTTGGCTCGGTTTGTGGCGTTGAAGGTGAGGGAGTCCCTTTTATAGAATAAGGGCTCGCTCCTCAATACATGAATGATGGGCTATAATTGATGTTCTCTAATGATGGTGAGGGAGTCCCTTTTATAGAATAAGGGCTCGCACTTCAATACATAAGTGATGGGTTAGAGTTGATGTTCTCTAATGATGGTGAGGGAGTCCCTTTTATAGAATAAGGGCTCGCTCCTCAATACATAAATGATGGGCTAGAGTCCCCCAAGTATTTTGTATTTTTCATGAGGCCCAGTTGAGGCCCAATATGTGGTACATAATGTAGTCCCCCAAGTCTTCGGTCAATAGAGTATGTTGGCTGGAGACTTCAAATTGAATCCATGTATGGGCTGAAGTGGTGGTTGTTCGGAGGCAGTATTTGTATACCCTGCACTAAAGCTTTGTAGGTGAAGCTTTGCAAGTGAAGCTTTGAAGCTAGAACTCTGTAAATGAAGCTTTTGAAGCTGATTGACATGAGTGATGCTCATAAATGTTTATGTTGATTGACATGAGTGATGCTCATAGATGCTATCATAAGTGATGCTCATGAATGTTAACATGAGTGATGCTCATGAATGTTGACATGAATGATGGTCATGAATGTTTATGTATAATTGTCATAAGTGATGCTCATGAATGTTTATGTATGAATGACATGAGTAATGCTCATGTATAATTTGGAGTACTGGGCGTACTTTTGATCACCTGGTTGGTGGCATGAAGGAAAGTACGGGTTGTACATTTCATCACCTGGTTGGTGGCATGAATGGCTAGTTGCCAAATGATATTAGAGTACGGGTTGTACATTTCATCACCTGGTTGGTGGTAATAGCGACAGGTTGCCGAATAATTTTGGAGTACTGAGCGTACTTTTGGTCACCTGGTTAGTGATAATAGAGGCAAGTTGCCGAATAATTTTGGAGTAATGGGCGTACTTTTGGTCACCTGGTTGGTGCTATTTTGGGCTTATGGGCCTTTGCTCTCCACACAACATTCCAGCCCATTTATTTTGGGCTTTTCTGTTTTTTTTTTTTAATTACCCTCTGATGGAGTTTATACATATTACCTTCTGATGGGATTTATACAGATATCTCCGAAAGATAATAAAAATAAATTACATCATTCGGGTGGGGTGTTTATTCTTTGCTTTTGCAGTGTTTTTCTGCTGCCCTCTTCCTGTATCTTCACCTGGTAGACAGAAGGAATCATAATGATATGAAAATCTTTGATTTTCTTCTTTTCTCTTTTCCTTTTCCTTTTCACTTTTGCTTTGCACCTCTGTCTTTGCTTTTCTCCAGACATCATTGTTTTTCTCTTTGTCTTTGTCTCGGCATGGGTCAGGCAAATTATTGAAACAAATGGGAAATTATAATCTTTCCCTTGAAGCTCCGTGTTGTTATGCCGCCCCGTCACCTGCTTCATGTACTTCTTCTTCTTCGCCTGGTCAATCCGTTTTCCTGAGTTAGAAAACACTAAAGTCGGCGAGTTGGAAGTCAGAGACGACTGGCGAGTTGGAAGTCAGAGACGACGTGGAAGTCAGAGACGACGAATTGGAAAGCACCAAAGCCGACGCTGACGCAATGGAAGATGGAGACGGCGATGACGATGGCTCGGCCAGAGGGTTTTGGCTCGGCTGTGCAGATGAAAGATGGTAGTGCAGAGCCCGTTTGTGATGGCTGGTAGTGCAAAGCACATTCCTCGAGGCTGGATCTTAACGACGTCGTCACAGGGAGTGAAATGAGGCTGCAGAGGCTTTAAGAAGCGTGATTCTAGAGAGATAAACAGAAGCGTTGCCGAAGATCAAGGTCGGTGCCCTCATAATTTTCGATTCAGATTCAGCTTCCGTGCTGGATTTACCAGTGCCATTACTATGACTTCTTATGTCCCGCTGTTTTTCAAATGATCGGTTTTTTACTAGACCCATTTTGGGCCACTATGGCTTAAGCTTCAGATTTTCCAGGTTGAGTGTACGAAGATTCATCTTCATTTTCACCGACTACGACGGCAAGATCCATTCTACCTTTCACACCAAAATCGAGAGTTCGATTCTCATACTCTTCTTCTCACATTTTCGTAAAAATCAGCATATCTTCCACTGTGCTCATTAAGCCCATGTATGATGATCAAAATACCCATTAGAGTACCAGAGACCGAGAACCATGAGTGGCAGAAGAGGGCGTTGTTGCGACCACCAAAGAACAAGAACGTGGCGGAGTGGTACCAGCAGTGGGCGTCGTCGGTGTGATACCCCTCAGCTAATGTTCTGCACCTGAAGTTGTCCTCCTCCTCTTCCTCCTACCCCGCCGTCGCCGTAGCAGGATCTCAGAGTCACTGCTCGATGCGTCGTCATCGAAGAAGCAAAAGTCAGCTTTAAAGAGAGGAAGAAGGTGTGGATGAAGATGAGGAAGACTCTTAAGGTTTTGAGGATCGGGATTATACGGTTGCTGGTTTTGGAGGTCAGCTGCTCCATCTCTGCCGTCGACATGGCCAAGGAATCGACGGTGAAGATCGAGAGAGGGAGGAGAAGGGAATTAAACTATCTGGGAATCCGATTCGGGAGAAGAAACGCAGAGGGTGGAAAAAAAAAGGAAACCAAATGAAAAAAAGGGGGAAGGCGTGAATTCAGAGGCAGAGAGAGAGAGTCCTCTCGGATGTGATGATGAGCTCTGTATCTGTGTCTCTGTGTGTGGGTTTTACAGATTAATGGCGAAGGTGAAAAATTGATAGAAAACCAACATAACTTTTCGTGTTGATTCCCACAGATGACGTCAAATGTTGATGCACAAAACCGGAGGTCTTGGAACAACGTAAATCCGATCGTGAATCTGCAAGAAATGTAAATAACACAATATGTATCATTCACCCCAAGATTTGGGCTACATTCATACTGAATATGTATTTATCTGAGAGGTGAGGGAGAGAACCTCTGAATATGAGAGGGGATGTGAGAGGGGTGAGAAGGCTCCAGAATTGGCCTTAGGAATTGGCCTTAGGAATTGGCCCTCCCAATTGTGAGGGTGAAGGATCCTTTTATAGAATAAGGACTCCTCACTTATTACATATTTGCCCCTTCATCTATTACATAATTACATTTAAGTTCTCCCGAGTATTTATACGAGGTCTAAATACGAAGCCCTAAATATGGTATAAACAGCATTCATAATCTTGTGACTGTCTACAATACTTATATATTTAATACAATCACCATCTGACGGTCTGATATAATTCCTGCAAATATATGTATTTAATACAAGAGAGCTACTACACCCAATCCCAGTATCATATTTTCAACCCACATTATACTCTCACTCACCATGAGAAGTTAAACATTGAAATGTTATTTCCCCACCCTATTCCTAAACTAACCTCTAATATGATATTTCTCCACCTAATATTATTCTTAAAAAAATTGAAATGTTATTTCCCCACCCCTGCATTCCTAAACTAACGTCTAATATGCTATTTATCCACCTATTATTATTCTTAACAAATTGAAATTTTATTTCCCCAACAACGAAGTTTCCTCCAACGATAATCTACTAGCAAATGAATGACCGTCCAAATGCGATGATGCTGTAATTATACACTCCAATAACTACCTTCAATAACGTATCATCACCATTTGCTAGCTTCTTACCCTTTAATTGGAAAATGGCATCCACACTTTTTCGTTCCAAATTTTCTTTTATCCTCATCCTTTGTCTTTTTTTGTGAATTCGGCTTACAGACTATCTATTCCTTCCACATGCCAATGTAGGTTTATGCTCTAGTTACTTTTCGCCCTCAACTTATTATTCTGATTATTATGTATTTTTTAAGGCCTTTATTAGTTATTTTAAAAATGGACAAACTTATAATTAAAAGTATCATTAAAAAATAGGTGAGAAAATAATACAATAATAGCAATTTAATACAATTACCATCTAACAATGAAAATAATAATTGTATTAAAAATATGTAAATATAATAGTCAAATCTAAGTAGACCTGCAATGAAATTTATCGTGTGATTGCTTACGTAACTCATAATAATTGACCTCACCACAACAACTTTTTACTAAATTTGAATAGGGATGGCAATATTTGCATAGACCAGCTTCACCTAACCTTGAGACCCATTATAAATTACGTACTGCTTTATTTGTTAATAACACATTGTTAGGTGGTCATTCAATAAAAAAAAGGTGGCCATTCAATAAAAAAAATTACCATAAAAACAATAATATATTATAAGGGTTAAATTTGTGCCATGTCATATCATAGTTTGTTCAGGCTTTAAAATTAGAGTAAATTGTTACTATGTTCCTTTAACTTTAACTCAATTAGAGCAATGATCCTTTAACTAAGAATCTATTACCATTGGTCCCTCAACTCTAATTTAACTGGAGAAATTGTCCCTTAACTTTAACCCAGTTGTAGTAATGGTCTTTCCAACACTTTGATGAGTTGAGGGACCCTAATTATATAAATGGTTATTCCAACATAACTTATTTTGACAATATTTTGACGAAATTGATGAAAATGACTATAGCTACACATTTTGATAAGTTGAGGGACCAATGGTAATGGATTTTTAGTTGAGCGACCATTGCTCCAATTTGATTAAAGTTGAGGGACTATTACTACAATTTACTCTTAAAATTGAAATTCAATCGTGTCTTGTTTTATGCTGTTTTAGATTCTCGATATTCCTTAGAAAAACAACTATAGGTTACATATGAAACATAAAGTACAAATTCACTTCATCCTAATTTTAGAAAAAAAACATAAGAAACCTATAATTCTACAAGGATTCATTATCTTCATATAACAATAGTTAAACGCGTTCGTAATAATGAGTCATATCAAGCTCTGCTTTAGGATTGAATCGCATTTGACATTGTGATATTTTGGACTTAAAAAGCTTTTTATTGGCCCGTAATTTGTAGGACGAAGCCCATAACTCGACCCGTTAACCCTGTAAAAAAAAATCTGAGGAAAAAAAAAAAGCAAGGGAAACCAGAACGAACGGTGTTGATAAATGGTAAGCATAAAGCCAAAAACCTTCTTCCTTCCCCTTCTCCATCGTCAGATCGCTTCCCTCTCCAACGCGCGCCAAATACAAACACTTTCACCTTCCTCTCTCTCTCTCTCTCTACAAATACACAGGTACGAAAAGCTTCCCTCTTTCTGCTCAATAATGGTGGCAGACCTAAACCTAACGGGCCGACCTAGGGCTCCGGTTCCAATTTCCGATTTTGTTATTGAATTGTTTCATGAAATGCAGTGAATCGTTGTGAGTAATGGCGGAGGCACCGACGAGTCCGGCTGGCGGGAGCTACGAGAGCGGCGGGGAGCAGAGTCCTCAGAGAGGAGGAGGAGGAGGAGGCGGCGGCAGCGTCCGGGAGCAGGACAGGTATCTGCCAATCGCCAACATCAGTCGCATCATGAAGAAGGCTCTGCCGACCAACGGCAAGATCGCCAAGGACGCCAAGGACACCGTCCAGGAATGCGTCTCCGAATTCATCAGCTTTGTCACCAGCGAGTAATTTTCACCTCTCTCTCTCTCTCTCTCTCTCTACTGTTATTTAATTTGCTTTTCAATCGAAATTGTTTTGTTAATTTTGTTGAATTGGGGTTTTTTTGGGTGTTTAGGGCAAGCGATAAGTGCCAGAAGGAGAAGCGGAAGACGATCAACGGCGACGATTTGTTGTGGGCGATGGCCACGTTAGGGTTTGAGGACTATATCGAGCCCCTCAGGATTTACTTGAGTAGGTACAGGGAGGTACAAATTGTTTAACTTTTGCCTTTTTGTACTTTCAGCTCACTTGACATTGTCGTATTTTTAGATGTAAATTTACAGTTTGGTTGTAGCATTTTTTGGGTCTTTTTCTTTCTTTTCATTTGAAATTTATGCAATGTTGTACTTCTTATCTGTTCAATCTAACAATTCCTTTTCATTTTCTTTGTGTCTCCCCCTTGGTTTGATTGGCTGGCATGATTGCATTGTCACAGACTGAGGTAACTAAGCCTTCTTCGGTTGTGTTAAATCTATTTTTATGTTCGATTGAAGTTTGAACTACAGTTGAACTGTTTAGTCTATAACTAATATCTCGTTTCGAGCGTTAGAAATGACTTTATCGGGAAATTTTGAACAGGGTGATGCAAAGGGCTCAGCTAGGGGTGGAGATGGTTCTTTTAAAGGGAATGCTGTTCCAGCAATGCCTGGCCCAAGTTCACAGGTCTGATTTTATAAAGCCGGTTAAAATTGTATTCTGTGTACTTTTGAAACTTTGGATTGTGACCTCACTCAGTTCTCTTTGTGTTGGTGAATATATATGGCAGTTTGTCCATCAGGGAGCATTGAACTATGGCAACCCTCAAGTAACTCCCTCTATCTCTCTTCCTTTTATTTTTCTATTGACAAAACACGTATATACAATTGTGCGCTCACATACATTTGATTTTTTTCATAAACAACCTAATTGGAATTACCAAGAATGGGAAACTCCGTAATTAACATATGAACAACTTTATTCAACTATAAGATGTTTAGAATGATAGAATCTTAACCGAAATGTACAATTGACATGTTTTAACATTATTCTTGTTTTGAGCAGATGATATGTGCTTGCTATACATATGTACTAGAGTTGCACTGGTTTTATGGAAATGCATTTGGTCCATGTTGTCTGTTAAAGCCACCAGTAGGGTCTTATGTCAAAGACCATAGAGGATTGTGTGTATTTTTTTCTATCTAGGTGAAGATATAGCAATTATAGGATACCTGAATTTGAGTAAATTGTGTATGACAAAATTTTATGTATGATTATTCGATAGTGAATGGTACAGAGAAATCTATTCTGAGAAGAAAAAAAAAAGTAGTAACTCTATACCTCCCCTCTCATTCCCATGAACAGTAACAATACTAACGAAAAACTCTGCACTTCTGCGGTACTCAAGACTATCCATTACTTATGCTATGATATGCAGATAAACAAATTTTTTTTGGTAACTCTATACCTTACAAATCTTAAATTTTTTGTATGCTTGGTGAAGAACTTGCCCCTCGCAAAATCAACTGCCTTTTATTCTTTGATGCCCGTGAAGCTTTTTGATAGGATTCACGTCCTCCAATGAAACTTTCAGAAATTATAGCCTTGCCTTTACCATCTATTTGCTGGTTTGGTAGATTTCAACATGTCACCATAAATCTGAAGGCAGTTCGATGAAGTCTGTTTGAAGTTTGGAAAAATATAGCCTGGGTTTGTACTTTGTACCAAGTATAGGGTTTACATTTCTCTTGGGGAATCTAATAAGATGCAGCATTTTAGTCATGTCGAGAAAACTTGCCTGACACATTAATGGACTGTTTAGAATAGTCTTTTAAAAGAAACATTTTGTCACTTATATACTTTTGTTTTTCATACTGGTAACTTCTAAATCGTTTTATTTAAGTAGGGAACTAAGATGCACTTAATAGAGTAAAATTTTAACACCATCACTGAAAGTAAAGATGTTTCATAAGAACCTATTCACTGGTGATGGGTCTTTATGTTTCTTAAGAACCGGTTTGCGGGTGAAGGTGTCTAGACTCTAGTGTACCCTTTAATATCAAGTGTTACTCAAACTGTTCGGGGTGGCACTTTTTTATGTGTTTCCCTTGTTAGAATGTGCACATGCTTTTATTGCATCACATTAGTGTCTGTTTTAAGAAAAGGATCTCTCATATTATAATATCTTGCATTTGGTCAAAACATGCTATGACACTGAATTTGTTACATATTTTGGAAAGGATATGATTTCTTATTGGTTTATTTGGCTCTTTTAGTTCAGTGAATGAATCCATATGCCTTATATATCTGTTTTTTCTGCTCAATTGTAGGAGGATTATTATGTGCCCTTGAATAATATGGGAAATGGAAATTGACGCTTTTGCGAGTGAACATGGCTTGTGGTCAATGTGCAATTGATCTTGATGATGGGTTCCATGATACCTTGCAATCCCGGCACAGCATCTCGTTGTTCATTCCACGCGAAGCAATGAGTAGAAGTTTTTAATTTTGTCACATATCATTTTTAAGAACTCGAAGGTGGTAAAGTTGTTAAGTTTTAATACTGATAGTATGATGTATTTGAATCTGAGTTGAATGACAAAGTATGCTTCTGCGGTCTCTGTTTTGGTTGG